GTGTTGACGAAAATACGGCGTCAGTGAAGTTTCACCAGCGCAGTAACTCACCGGTTCACTCACCTACTTGGCAAAACGTTACTCATAAAAAATTTGCAGACCTTTTCTTTGGCAAAACTTTAAATGCTAAGCGCAATTCAAAGTGCGGCGCAGTGAGACTAGAGAGTTGTAACTCTAACCGGGCAACAACACTCAACACAGTGTTACCCATGCCTACTACTTATACATAAAATACGCTAGCGGAAAAACGGGGAGTTTTTCAGGGCAAAACCCACCTGATGAGACCACATGGGCAAGTAGGTACCGGTGTTGTCGCCCAATCAATAAGCTGTAAAAGCTGACGCTTACTAAAACAATAAAGTTCTGGAACAGTTTGCCAATAAATATAGTTTGGGAGTGGATGTTGCCAGGGCTTCAGAGTCATAACTTCCAGCATTCGAAGGCTTTTGATGGCTGAAAGCTGTTGCCGAGGAAGTTTCGCGTCCAGCATTTATGCAAGACTGAATGATTGAGGAAGTTTCCCTGCTGGTGGCAGTAATTGGGGTGCACAATACAACTGGTATTCTAGAAGAAATGGGCGTGTTGCTTTTTACGAAATGCGCGCTGAAAGCTGGACGATTTTCCCCCGGGAAGTTCAGTTCACGGTGACTTTGCACACAGTTTTCCACAAATATTTCCCCAATTCAACAGATGCCGAACTTGGCAAGTTCTTTGCAGTTTTAACGAGCGTCTTGTTCGCCTGATTGCTCACAATTTCGCTTTGGTATCGGCCGCCTTAATTGGGAGTTTGCCTAAGTAAATACTGGTAAAACCCAGCGGTGTTTTGTGCCTTTTACAACCGGTCTGGATGCGGGAAAAGGTGTGGAACGATGCAAATTTCCTCGTTCTGGATACGTTTCAAGTTTGCAATCAATGGAAAGGTGAAGTTTGATCGCACAATGGTCGGTTTCAATAAATTGCCATTAATGAAATTCCGCCGGGCAAAATCTCATCTAGGAGATGCCGCTGGGAAATCCATCAATCAGACGATCGCTGACACCTCGATAGCACCAGCTTTTGCATCGAAATTAATCTCGATATTTTAAAATCAGCAACTTTCTCGTGCGACGTGCCCAACTAATGATTCCCGATTTTACAGATAGTGGAACGAGATGGCCCGACATCGGAATTACACGTTTGCACCATTCCATTACGCGAGTCTGCGTTTGATAGATAAACTTTATTATAGTGGAAAATGTGGAAATGCTGTTTGGGTTGCGCTTGGCATGGCGAGATAAATGGAAAACGCGCAAATGTCTGGATAACAACGACAACTGACGGTGGACATTTTATTTTAAGGGCGAGGAAATCGTTTAATTGTTGCGCTAATTTTCCATTCTGTCTTTCCATCAGAATGTACCAAATAGTACGGTGTTTTTGAAGCCGACTGAGTCATTTTTTGCGACACACCTCGTAGTCAAACTGACGTAGTCCAACTGCGGTCCAGAGAGAGAATAACAGAGCGGTTTCCATGGAAATCAGTGTGTTCTGGTCGCACCCTGCCGTTTTACCAGGGCGGGTTTAATAGAACGGGAATTTGAATTGAAACGTTTTGCATTTGATGCGATTCAAGTAGTGGAAAATGCGATGTTTTTACTTTTAGTCCCTCGTGGAAAATAATTTTTCTAATAGTACTGAGACGGCTGAAAATTGTTGCATGTGTAAAGGACGTACTTAGTGAGAAAGTCTGCAAAACCGCAGCCATTTCCATTTCCCAGTGATTTTAAAAAAATTCCCAAACTTTATTTAAAAATTTCGTTTTAAATAGTGCGCGTTTGTCTTAAAAAAGTCGTAGACTGCTGTAGGAAGAGGGATGCAGTTTAATATTTGTGTAGACGACGAGTGCTTAGTGAGAACGTGGGCAAAATTGCAGCAATTTTCAGTTTCCAAGTAATTTTTGAAAATTTCTCAAACTTTCATGGAAAAATTGCGTTTCCAATAGTGCAAAAATCATAAATTGCAGACTGCGGCAGTTTGAGGCCCTAACGGGGTAAACGCATCCCTAGTGAAAATGTGTACAAAACCACAATCATTTTCCATTTCCTGATGATTTGGGAAAATTTCTCAAACCTCCATTTGAAACTTGCGTATCAAACAGAGCGCGTTTGTCTAAAAAAATTCAAAACTTGCAAACTACATATTGAGTTGAAATTTGGCATTTGCCTAGCCCAATCTTCAGTGAGAAACCGAACAAGAGCGCATTAATTTCCAACATCCCGGTGATTTTTGAAAGAACTTGCATGTGATCGTGGTTGCTGCGCCGAACAAACCGCCTCTGAGGATGCCAGCTACTGGCGCCGGCAAAACACCCGGCTGCATTTTCTTCTGCTTCGATCTGGATTAGCATACGAAAAGGCAAAATCACAAACAACCCAAACTAACTTAGCGCGAATATTGCGTGAGATTTAATCAAAGTTACAGCACCAATTAGCATATTTACTCGTCCTAAGGCCCGACCACACGTTCAATTCCACAATGGGGAAAGTCGATCGGTTTAAATTGTTCAGAGATTCCATCATTGGCTGGTTAGAGTGCGAAATTTGCATTTTAAGAGTGGATTAGAGCCAAATGTCCAATTGGTCCCGGCGTTAATGCTAATAATTTCCTGGAGCTGATAGAGAAGCGTGTGATCCATTCAGAGATCAAGAGCAAAAAAAATTCACCCAGATTCGTCTGGGTGAATTGAGAAGAACGAAGCCAGCTGAGACACGGTGAAGGCCGTTTGGAGTCAAAGGAACGATTCCTTTGTGTGCTGCTCTATAATGAAAAGGAGCCTCTCGGAATAATAATTATGAAACATTGGCCGGATTATAGAGGGATTTAATGGTGAGATGGAGATGATGGCCGTGCCAAGGGGCTCATTAGAGACTGCGGTTATTAAGGGTTTTTGTTGCACGCTTTGACGATTTAATTAACAGTCCCGAATTGCCCAGTTTTCCGTCACTCTACAACGTAATTCGATTATGGTCGGGCCGAAAAATGCATTTTTTTGCTTTTACAGCCGTTAAATGGCCCGGATAATTGGCGTTTACACTTTGCAAGTTGGACGGGTGAATTTGACTAATTCTTTTTTAGTATCGACAAGGGATTAAGGAAGGTTTTCACTAGGGGCAAAAACTCTCGCTAAAACCGGCCAGAAAACGGTAATTTTTCCTCGAAGCCTTAAAGTCTTCAACTATTTAACGCACAAATATAAATAAGCGAGGCTCTGCCCAGATAGTGAAACAAAGGAAGCGACGTGATAAATGGCGCAAAGAACAGAATGCGAAACCGTAGATAAAGAGAAGAACGCAAAAAAAACGGTCTTGCATAGCTGGGCATTATTTATGGGTAAGAATGCCATTTTTTTTCGGTAAAAAGACGCTCAAACTTCCCCAGCTAAGTTCGAGATTAATCTTACTAAACTCGTGCAGTGGCTGGTCGCGGCTAATCCGGGACCGGCGAAATTATCAGGGGCGATAAGAAAATGGGGACTTTTCCGCAGGAAAAGAATCTCCGGCCGACGTTTCGCAAGCCCGAGTGGCTGGCATTTGCAGGCGCGTTAAAGCCGCATGTGGCTGATCAGTTTCAAAAGTGTTCCTGGTGGGAAAAGTGAGAATCTCACCCCTTTCAAGCGAACGTTCAATTGAACCGACCCTGGTACATCGACAGTGTGCGACAAAAACACTCTCGTTTCCAGGGCAACCGCTCTGTGACTCTCTGTCTCACCCGCATCAGGAACACGTCAGTTTGGCTACGAGGTTGATTCGAAACAGGATCCAAACGCCGGAAAACTTCGTCAAGGTTATGCTGGGGTCGCGTTGATCTAGGGCGTGCTGCATGTGAGTTTTTCCTTTCGCGTAGTTGAGCACAAAGGAAAAGACAATTTAATTGACCTGAAGGCGACTTTATGATCTTTGCCAGTGCACATCTCTTCTGTGGGACGCATTGTGCCCAAAGCCCGTTTAATGCTCTTGCTTTTGCGATGGAAACTTGCCATGTTGAGGCAAGTTTATTTCGTTTTGTTGGCGCACCATAAGTCAAAGTTTTCGCCTCCAAGTCTCGGTAACGGGGTAATTCCATTACGCCTTGATTCGGCATATTCGCTTTGCCAAAGCCGAGACAAACCGAACCGGTAAAGTTCGCCCATTAGTTCTTCGACTTTTAATGGGGTTTGCTGAAATTTTCGAGTGGATTTAATGGTAGTTTATGCATATTCGGTCCATTCTCCTCCAGTTGCTCGCTTAGACGGCCCTCTGATGTTTTATTTCGGGCCAAGTTTGGCCTGGTACGTGCGCTATTTCCTTCGGGGGCTTCGCCAGCCATTCCTCCCGTATCTCCTGCTTTCTAGCAAAAAGGCGATTGAGGCGCGTGAGGCTCGGCAGAATTTCCTGCACGACCGGCTTAAACGCGTAACAATGTCGACGAATAGTTTCACTATTGCAGCGAATTGCTTGGGCAAAGCGTCGCTTTCTTTAGCTGGTTGAGTATTTTCGAGCAAGAAACGAGGAAAATCGCCTCAAGTTGTGCGGCTGCGCTCTGGATTGACTCATTGGATTGCAGTTTTTTTCGGGTTAAATTCAGCATTGAAAATCTTTCAGTTTCTTCGTGTTTTTCCTGAGTCATCTAAAGCGTTTAGTCGCTTGGAACGTCGCGTTACCATTACATTTTTGGGAAGTTCCTTGATTGTTCTATTTTACGGCTGCTGGGGCAATATTTTAGTTTTAGATGGAAAAAGCAGTTTTTTAGCAGAGGTTTTCAAAAAAATGCCCAACGAAAACTGCAATGTTGGTAGTTTTCAGAGGAACGTCTTGTCTTCGCAATAGACTAAGCGGCAGAGAAAAAATCCGTTTGGTTCCAGAGCAGCGATTTTTTAAAAATTTCCAAACTTTGTAGGGCCGTGTTCCGAAAAATTGTCAGTGCGCCACTGGCTGTGCGTTTAAACTGCCATTGGGGTCACTTTTAGAGGAAAGTCTTGTCTTTGCAATGGACTAAGCGGAAGATAAAAACGACGGGATTTTCCAAAAAAATCCATAGGTTTTCTTCGGAAAATTGTCAGTGCGCCTCTGGTTTCGTGTTGAAACTGCCATTCTGGCCGATTTTACAGGAACATTTTGTCTTCTGAATGCGCCAAGAAGAAGTAAAAAATTCCCTTTGGTTCCATAGCAGCGGTTTTCAGACAAATGTTCGGTTTTTATGGGGAGGGGCTTTGAAAATTCCTTAGGGCAGCACTGTTTGCATGTTGTCACTGCAACTTTGACTGTCTTTAGAGGAAATTCTTGTCCTGTGATGCTGCAAGCAAAATCCCTTCTGGTTTCATCGCCGATATTGTGAGAATCGACCAGTTTTTGTGGGCAGGCGCTTTGAAATCTCCTCAGTACGCCACTGGTGGTGTGTTGAAAATGCAGTTTTGGCTGGTTTTTTGAAAAATCGCATTTCATTCTCAATACAGCAAGTGGACAAAGACAAATTTTCGTTCGAGTTCCAGGACAGCAGTTAACAAAAACGTAGGGAAAAATCTTTGAAAATTCCTCAGTGCGCCACTGGTGGTGTGTTGAAAATGCAGTTTGGCTGGTTTTTTGAAAAATCGCATTTCATTCTCAATACACCAAGTGGACAAAGACAAATTTTCGTTCGCATTCCAGGACAGCAATTAACAAAAACGTGGGAAAAACTCTTTGAAAATTCCTCGGTACACCACTGGTGGTGTGTTGAAAATGCAGTTTAGGCTGGTTTTTTGAAAATCGCATTTCATTCTCAATACACCAAGTGGACAAAGACAAATTTCCGTTCAAGTTCCAGGGCAGCAGTTAACAAAAACGTAGGGAAAAAATCTTTGAAAATTCCTCAGTGCGCCACTGGTGGTGTGTTGAAAATGCAGTTTTGGCTGGTTTTTTGAAAATCGCATTTCATTCTCAATACACCAAGTGGACAAAGACAAATTTTCGTTCAAGTTCCAGGACAGCAGTTAACAAAAACGTAGGAAAAAAATCTTTGAAAATTCCTCAATACGCTCCAGATTAACCACTTAAATTTGCGTTGGTGCAGCTGCAGAAGAACGAAAAAAAATGACATTGAGGTGCTTGTTTCCAGAGTGGATATGGCGCAAGCGCACCGCAACGGCAGCTACTACCAATGCTGTTCCGGTTTCTGTGTGGATTTGCTTCAGAAGTTCTCCGAAGAGTTGGGCTTCACCTACGAACTGGTGCGAGTGGAGGATGGCAAGTGGGGCACCAATCAGAACGGGAGATGGAACGGGCTGATTGCGGACCTGGTGAACCGCAAGACCGACATGGTGTTGACGTCGCTTACCATCAACGCGGAACGGGAAGCAGTGGTAAGTTGAATTGATCGCACTCGAAGAAGAATGGCAGCTATTTTGCGCGACGACTCCCGCAAAACGGGAACGTACGGTGAAACTTTGCTTCGGGCGAGTTTGAGCAGAACTTATGTCCACATCCATATATATTATGCTCGGGTAAATGGAATTAGTGTTGACCTCGAAGTTTCTCCATGCCCGGTAAGAGTCGGGCGGCGTTTTCTTCGAGTCGAGGAGAGTCGCGAGTTACGAGGCGCCCTCAATCTCGACCCCTTAGGGCTGGTTTACAGCTGGCAGTTTTATGACGGTCGGCCTGTTCTGGCCGATGATTCGATTGCACCCTCTGGACGTCTGAAAGAGGCGTTTCGTGCCTTCGGCACTTTGCCTACAATGTTTGGACCCACGGGATTGCAAGTCGTAATCCTGCGAAGGTAAGAAGCCAATTTTCTCTTTTGTTTTCAAATATCTCTAAATTTCCCACTTTGATGAGGATCCATGCAGGCTCTCAGAGCGGAAAAGGTCTTCGACTGGACAGTTTTTTAATCCTGGAATTAAAGTTTTCGGCGCTATAAAGCAGATTGTCCGGATATCGAGTTGAACTCTGACGCATCGATCGCGATCCGCATTTTCTCGCAGAAGTTGAAGAATCCTCGAGTGGGGCGGCGCCCTTAAGGGCGCTCCAAAGTGTTAAAAATTCATAACCCCATTGGACCCCCGAATCCACTTTCGAAGGGCGGCACTTTTTCGGATTCATCCCGTTCCTGTAGTTCGGGCTTGCCTAAGCGATATTGGGGCGAAAACGGGAACAAAAATGCTACAAAAACAGTTGAAAATTGCTCATTGTTTGCAAATGGCTATTTTGATTTTTGGGTGTTTGGTCTTGGCGAATTTGCCTCTAGAGGTCAAAATAGGGAGGTTTAAGGCTGACGGCTGATTTAAATCCGCTCTTAGACTTTCCAGTTGTCATTGCGAGACAGAGCCTTAAATTGGGCACTTTCTCATATAAAACCTCGTTCTAGAAAGTTTTCTAGTTTTTAAGCAAATCGCGGAAATTCAAGATTAATGAGAATTTTTAAAACCGCTCTTAGTCTTTCAGTCACATTTAGAGAACCGGTTGAGTTGCAAAGCTCTAGCTTTCATTTCGGTATAAAGCCTTAAATTGCGCACTTTCTCACATAAAACATCGTTTTAGAAAGTTTTCTAGTATTTACACAAATCGCGGAAATTCAAGATTGAAGAGAATTTTTAAAACCGCTTTTAGTCTTTCGCTCACATTTAGAGAACCGGTTTAGTTGCAAAGCTCTAGCTTTCATTTCGGGATAAAGCCCTAAATTGCGCACTTTCTCATATAAAACCACGTTCTAGAAAGTTTACTAGTTTTTACGCAAATCGCGGAAATTCAAGATTAATGTGAATTTTTAAAACCGCTCTTAGTTTTTCGCTCAAACTTAGAGAACCGGTTGAGCTGCAAAGCTCTAGCTTTCATTGTGAGATAGAGCCTTAAATTGCGCACTTTCTCATATAAAACCTCGTTCTAGAAAGTTTTCTAGTTTTTAAGCAAATCGCGGAAATTCAAGATTAATGAGAATTTTTAAAACCGCTCTTAGTCTTTCGCTCACATTTAGAGAACCGGTTGAGTTGCAAAGCTCTAGCTTTCATTGCGGGATAAAGCCTTAAATTGCGCACTTTCTCATATAAAACCTTGTTCTAGAAAGTTTACTAGTTTTTAAGCAAATTGCGGAAATTCAAGATTAATGAGAATTTTTGAAACCGCTATTACTCTTTCGCTCAAATTTAGAGAACTGGTTGAGCTGTAAAGCTGTTGCTTTCATTGCGGGATAGAGTCTTAAATGGCGCATTTTCTCATGTAAAACCCCGTTCTAGAAAGTTTTCTATTTTTTACGCAAATCGCGGAAATTCAAGATTAATGAGAATTTTTAAAACCGCTCTTAGTCTTTCGCTCACATTTAGAGAACCGGTTGAGTTGCAAAGCTCTAGCTTTCATTGCGGGATAGAGCCTTAAATTGCGCACTTTCTCATATAAAACCTCGTTCTAGAAAGTTTTCTAGTTTTTACGCAAATTGCGGAAATTCAAGTTTAATGAGAGTTTTTAAAACCGCTCTTAGTATTTCGCTCAAATTTAGAGAACCGGTTGAGCTGCAAAGCTCTTGCTTTCATTGCGGGATAGAGCCTTAAATGGCGCATTTTCTTATGTAAAACCCCGTTCTAGAAAGTTTTTTAGTTTTAACGCAAATCGCGGAAATTCAAGATTAATGGGAATTTTTAAAACCGCTCTTAGTCTTTTGTTCAAATTTAGAGAACTGGTTGACCTGCAAGGCTCTATGTTTCATTACAGGATAGTGCCTTAAATTGCGCACTTTCTCATATAAAACCTCGTTTTAGAAAGTTTTCTAGTTTTTACGGAAATCGCGGAAATTCAAGATTAATGAGAATTTTTTAAACCGCTCTTAGTCTTTCGCTCAAATTTAGAGAACCGGTTGAGTTGCAAAGCTCTAGCTGATTAGTGTTTACAACTGATTAGTGTTTTACATAGAACAAGGCTTATGACAAGTATGTTTTACATAAAACAAGGCTTAAAGGTGTTTTATGACAGCTTACAGCTGTAGATCGGAACGATCATAAAACTGTGAATTTGTTCTCGAGAAAACCTTTCAGATTCTCCGACCACTAAACAAGGTTTTGTCTGATCCCCAATGACGTGCCGGTAATAAATTAAATTCGCAATTCCCCTTTTCTGAGCTCCACACTGTGTAAACGTCGGCTTTATAAGTAGCTAATTGATTTATCCTCTATAGACTGGGCGGAGAAGGAAACAAAAATTTACACAAATTGCATTAAATTTGGCCACGCTTTCAAGGCCAGCTACATTACAAGTTGAAACTGGTTTGCTTGCCGATTCTGTTTCAATTAGGACTAATTAACGTCAGCAGCGGCTGCCTGAAAATTCTCAACCTGGCAGAATTTCGCGAAAAGAAACGTGTTTCCTGAATTCCAAGATTCGCATTATTGGGGCCCATTTTCGGGCTGGTTGAGCTCAAACTAAAGCGAAAAACGAGCGCGAGGATCACGGAGCGAAAGCCGTCCAATGGGACGGCGGAAGTGACGGCCATTTATTCAGCATTGCTCTCTTCTAACCCCTAAAAGTGCGCGATTATTAGCTGGCGAACAGCAGCCGGTTCCAACGGAGAAAATAATAATGGAACTGCCACACGTTGAAAAATGATCTCTGTCAATTTGACAGAATATTAGCGACAGCTAGCAGACATTGACATTGGGTTGGGTTAGGATCCGTTAAATGCAGGAATGCACGTTTTCAAAATGTCAATATTGTCAACGAGAAATTGGTCTTTTTTATTGACATTATAACCCCAAATTGATAAACCTTAGCTATCTGCTGACATGGCAGAAAATGAATACAATCGTGTAGTTTAGGCTGATAAATCTCTATCGCGCTTTGTTCTGTATTTATTAAGTTGGCTGAAACGAGCCGGCATTTTTCATTCGTTCCAGCGATGAAGAAACGTTCCGCTGCCGCCCCTAAAGCCTCAAATTGCGTTTATTATGGTGTTTCGGGCGGCCAATTTTTTTTGGGTGTGCAACCGTGTGCTGTGTAAATTCATTTGTGAAGAAACGCGCCGATCCAAAGATGGATCCACGAGGCGTAAATCGGCAGCAGAGGAATTTCCGAATAAATAAGCCGAGCAGTTTTTCTTTGGAGCTTATTCGGGGACAAATAGACGAAGGCGTGGAAACTCGCCAGTTTTCCTCTGGCATCGGCGCCTTTAAGCGCAGCGCCAATTTCCTTTAAAACACCTTCGTGAAAATGAGACGTCCTTTTTTTTGCTAGCACGCATTCCGGACAAATGGATTACTCTAATGGAGCGGTCGCGATGAGTGATGGGTTCTGGATTAATTATGCGTCTTTTCAGATAGGCTTGGATGCAAAATTTCCTTTTTTTCTGGTTGTTTTTACCGGTTCTCAATAGTAAAATCATTGTTGTTCTGGGTACATAAAGTCGTTTGCGTTTGTCTTGTAGATCACCTTAGGACTGTTGATTTGATGCGGGAAAGTGCGCTTTTTATTGCGCAAAATTTCGATTGATCAATACTTTTAGGACAAAATGACATCCGATGCACTTTAATGTATTTGTTGTGCTGCCTTTTCCGAGCACGAAAAAGACTGAAAAGTTCGCTGAAATCATCAATATTCTTGATTTTTGCCGACTTGGATAACGTTGCACTGCACCCTCGACATAAAAAAAATCAAAACTTTGCATTTAAAGAAAGTAGGTACTTGAAACTTTTACAGTCTATAGAATACATTTCAGTCTCAACATTTTACAAATTCCGCGTAAATCGTCCTAATGATTGCTTTTAGCGGACTTGTAGACCGTTGACCTAAAAATAAGGGCGACCATACGACTGCATCCTCGGCATAAAAAATTCAAAACTTTGTACCTTATGGAAGTAACTATTTAAAACTTTTACAGTCTATAGAAGACAATTGAATCTCAATATCCCGAAATTTTGGCTTAAATCGCCCGAATCGTTGATTTTTGTCGACTTGGAGAAAGTTGGCTTCAAAATAAGCGCGACCAGACCACTGCACCCTCTGCTTCAAAAAATCATAACTTTGTATTTAACGGAATTAGCTACCGATAACTTTTGCAGTGTATAGAAGACAGCTGCGTCTCAATATCCTGAAAGTTTTGCTTAAATCGCCCTAATCGTTGATTTTTGTCGACTTGGAGAAAGTTAGCTTCAAAATAAGCGCAACCAGACCACTGCACCATCTGCTTCAAAAAATCATAACTTTTCATTTAAAGGAATTAGCTACTTAAACCTAACACAGTGTATAGAAGACAGTTGCGTCTCAATATCCTGAAAATTTTGCTTAAATCGCCCTAATTATTGAATTTTGTCGACTTGGGGAAAGTTGGCTTCAAAACAAGTGCGACCAGACCACTGCACGATCTGCTTCAAAAAATCATAACTTTGCATTTAAAAGAATTCGTTACTTAAAACTATCGCAGTGTATAGAAGACAGTTGCGTTTCAATATCCTGAAAATTTTGCTTAAATCGCCCTAATTATTGAATTTTGTCGACTTGGGGAAAGTTGGCTTCAAAACAAGTGCGACCAGACCACTGCACGCTCTGCTTCAAAAAATCATAACTTTGCATTTAAAGGAATTAGCTACTTAAAACTAACACAGTGTATAGAAGAAAGTTGCGTCTCAAGATCCTGAAAATTTCGCTTATATCGCCTTATTCGTTGATTTTTTTCGACTTGGAGAAAGTTGGCTTCCAAATAGGCGCGATCACACCACTGCACCCTCTGTTTAAAAAAATCATAATTTTGCATTTAAACGAACTAGCTACCGAAAACTTTTGCAGTGTATAGAAGACAGTTGCGTCTCAATATCCCGAAACTTTCCCTTAAATCGCCCGTATCACTGATTTTTGTCGACTTGCAGAACATCAGTCAGAAATGACTATTACATGGTAACTGAAATAAAAACGCACGTGTTGCTCTCCTTGAAAAATACATAACTTCCAGTGGAACGCAAGTAACTACTTGAAATTGCAATGGATAGAAAACAGTTGAGTTTCAAAATCCTGAAAATTTCACTTAGATCGCCCCAGTGCCTGATTTTTGCCGACTTGCTAAAAGTTCCGTCCGCTTGTTTGTTATTTTGCTACCAGTTACAGAAATGCAGTCAAAAATTTGATTTTTGTCCTCGGCCCTCAAAAACGAACATTTTGCTTTTTGCCCGCATATTCGGGGCTTGCAGTTTGACACCGTTTTTCTTGTTGGCAAACGCCACGATTGAACTTCGTACAAATATGTCCTTATTTACACGGTGTGCCCAACTAATCCAAACAGCGCTTAAGCGAACGATATTTGCTGCGGGAAATTGAGTTTTATTTTAACTGCAGCCGAAAATCCAGCCAGGACTTTACAAGTCAAACAACCTGGAAATGCATTCGGACGTGGCAAATTTCCGGACTTCTTTGTTGATTTTCGCCTGAATAATCACACGACGTGGATTTTGCACTGAACTAACAGCAGCTGAGCGCTGCCGATTTTCCACTCGACCAAAAGTTGCTGACACTTTTTTGGCCGCCAGAATCACAAAAAGCAATCGGATTTATTCAGCGGAATGTTTGCTATCCAATTTCAGCGCGCGTAAACGCCACGTGCACCGACTAAATGTGCGTGATCGAAGCGATTTGGAGAAACTACAGTTTTCGTTGTTTTCCAGGTCGATTTCAGTGTGCCATTTATGGAGACCGGAATAGCCATTGTGGTGGCGAAACGCACCGGAATCATATCGCCTACCGCTTTTCTGGAACCGTTCGATGCCGCCTCCTGGATGCTGGTGGGTTTGGTGGCGATCCATGCGGCCACTTTCACCATCTTCCTCTTCGAGTGGTTGTCGCCCAGCGGCTTCAACATGAAGCTGGCCTTTAACAATGTAAGTAGCAGTCGGTTTCAATCAATCGAATAAAGTCTCTTTATCCGCTCGTGCGAACTGAGCAGCCATCCAGAATCCACTGAATCAGCTACTGTTTGCTTGGCCAGAGAAAGCGCAATTTCGAGCTTGCATTCGGGTCGATACGTTTAAATTATTAATTTCGCCATCGTTTAAAGCACAAACATTATAGCTGATTGAACACACATTTCCATTAGGATCAGTTCGGCAAATGCAGTGGAACAATGCACAGAAGGAATGGAATGTCTATAGAATAGAATAGAAGGGAATCGAATGTGTTTTAGCATGGAAATATGCAGCTTATAGATCGTTATTGTGGCCTTATTTGGACGCAAATTTCCATCGGCTAAACCGGTTTTGATAAATTAACGCTAATTTGACGGCGAAGTTAATTTAATTAAATTGGCGGCCCATAATCTCCTCGGAGCTTATAAGTGTCGGGCCATTTTTTTATCTGCTCTTGGAGCCATTCAATAGTAGTTTTCGATACAAGGGCGAAAAACAAATTTTCGCCCTCGTATCGAACACTATTTTTTATTCGAATGAAAGATTACACGAATAATAAAATGCATCGATTTCATATTTAAAATTTTGTGGCAATGTCATTTTTTGAAATGTCATGTTTTGAAGTTTGTAATTAAGTTTAAGTACTTTTTCAACTTGAAACACCTGTGGTCTTGGGATGGTGTATGCATGTTGCATACTCTGCATGACATTTGCGCTTCTTAAAAAGATCGTGTTTTACGTGTGACAACATCGCAAAAGTAGATAAGTAGGCCATTAAAACGATTATGAGACTGAACTTGTAACAAAGGTATAATTTACAAATTGTAAGTAAACTTGAAAATAGGATCAATAGTTGTTGATAAACCTACGTAATTCCTTAAAAAAGCATTTCGGTTA